GGGGGGGGGGGGGGGGGGGGGGGGCTCCTCGAACTTATGACGGTGACACAGCTGGGAATCTTGTCTCGATTGAGCTGAATTGAGGATTACCTGTCGGAGAACCTTGTGAGTTGAATCAGGATCCTGGGTTTAACTTGGACTCTTCCTGTCTGTTCTTTTCTACCCCCCCCCCCCCCCCCCCCTACTTTCCAGATCTGTTGGCAGCCTCTAGAAATGCCGGTCTGCTTACCCACCTCTTTCTTCTTGCAGGGCCCCTCCTACTCCCACCTCTCGGAGTTCGCCCCCCCTCCCACCCCGATGGTCGATCACCTGGTGGCCTCCAACCCGTTCGAAGATGACTTTGCCATCCCCAAGGTGGGCTCCTCTTCCGCGCCCTTCCTCGGCAACCCCGGCCCCTTTGGGAACTTCCGCATGCAAGGGGCGCTGGGCCCCCAGGTGCCGCCCAGCTATGGCGGGGGCCCCCAGGCCATGCGGAGGCAGCCGCCCCCCTTTGGACCGAACCAGATGGGCCCGGCCTTCAACATGGCCCCGCAGAACCCAGCCTACGTCCAGCCTGGCGGGATGGGCTTCGGCGGGCAACCTTTCGGGCAGCCGCTGGGACAGAACTTCAGCCCCCCTGGCGGGCAAATCCTGCAGGGCCCCATGGGGGCATTTGGGCCCATGATGTCGCCAACCATGGGGCAGCCCCCTCGTGGCGGGGACATGGGCCCTGGGCCAGCCCTCAACGCTCCCGGGGGTCCCCCGATGGCCCAGCGGTTCAGCCAGCCCGCCAACCTCTTTGGACAGTCTCCGCTGCAGCGCCCCAACCCCAGCCTCTCCAGCTTGCCCCCTAATCCCAGCCCCTTCCCGGGGCCCGACCCCGGATTCCCCCCGTCTGCCGAAGACGGCAGCGGCGGCGGCGGCAGCAGCAAGCCCCTCCACCCACCTCCCAACAGCTTCAACCCAGAGCAGCAGCACACCGGCTCGCCGGTGGCCGTCAACGGCACCCAGCCAGCCTTCCCGCCCAACAGCACCGGCCCGAGCGGCCCCTCCGAGGGCAACCCCTTGCCCCCCACCAGCAAGGCGGCCGGCAGCTCCGGCCACCAGCCTCCGCCGGGCCTGGTTTACCCCTGTGGGGCTTGCCGCAGCGAAGTGAACGACGACCAGGACGCCATCCTGTGCGAGGCCTCGTGCCAGAAGTGGTTCCACCGGGAGTGCACGGGCATGACGGAGAACGCCTACGGGCTGCTGACCACCGAGGCCTCGGCCGTCTGGGCCTGCGACTTCTGCCTCAAGACCAAGGAGATTCAGTCCGTCTACATCCGGGAGAGCATGGGGCAGCTGGTGGCTGCCAACGATGGCTGAGGCCTCCCTCCCCTTCCCCGGCTGTCCTCGCCCCGGGGGACAGTCTGGCTTTTACCACTTCGAGACACTCCTGGCTGGGGAAGGTGGGGGGACACACACCGGATCCCATCCCTTGCCAGTAAAAGAACTGGAGGGTTCTGGCTGGACGAGAGGAGAGAGGTCAGCCCCGTCTGGGCATTGGTTTGTTTTTAAAGACACCCCCACCCCCCTCTTCATGACCTCCAGGGTGGTTCCAGCCCTGACCTCCCTTTGGACTTGCTGGCCACACAGTTGGACTCCGGCGGAGGGACACAGAGGCACCCACTGACCCGTTGGATGCCTTCCTCCTCTCCAGAAATGTCGCCGTCTGTCCCGTGTTTCTCTTTCCCGGCCTCACGGCGGTGTTTCGAACTGCAAAGCGTCCGCCTCGCCTTGAAAGATTGGCTGGACGACAACAACAAAAAAGAGGGGGGGGGGCGTTGTTTTCCCAGTCTCCTCCCCCCCCTCTTCCATTCCTCCCATTTGGCTCCATTCCAGCTTCGTTTGGTCACTCGGAGGTTCTCGCCGCATTGTCCGGTTTCTTCATATAAATCCACCAATCCGATTAATATACCTCTATCTTTGGAGAGGGGGCAGGGGTTGCTGGCAGTCTGACAAGAAGAGAGACACATACACCCCCCCAAAAAAAAATCTTACAAGAGGGTCTGGGTGCTGCTCCTAGTTTTGGAGCTTCCAAGCGTCAAAAGTTTGGAACCGCCTGCTGCAATGACCGCCGTTGTCTTGAGAAAAGAAAAAAGAAAGAAAAAACTTGACGAAAGGACGAACTGCTGCGTCCCTTTTTTTCCTCGCAGGAAGACTTTAAAACACAAAAAAAAAAGTACTGACTTGGGACCTGTTTTTTTTTTATTATTATTATTATATTATTATTATTATGTTCGCTTTCCCGTAATATTTTTTTTTTACTTTTTTTTGTTTTTCCTTTGGTCGCTGTGTCCGTTTTTCTTTCCGTCGGACTTGTTTTTGGTCAAGTGCTTAACGGATGTAACTTGGATCCTTCTTTCTCTTCTACTGGACATTCAGCGGGGAGAGAACTGGGGAGGGGGAACAAAAGGAAAAGGGGGGAGGAGGCAAGTTATAGCTGGATTCATACACAATCCCCTCCCCGGTGTTTTAATGTTGCGAGCATTAAAAACAAAATGAATTTCGTACCCATGTCTGCTCTGGTTAACGGAAAAGGCTCTCCCCTAGGTGGGCAGCGAGATTTCAGGTGTTTCGCCTCCGCCCTGATGTTTTGGGGTGTCTTGTGATACCCGCTCGCTCCCATCCCTCAAAAGCGGAGAAAACGACAAGAAAAAGCGACGTCAGCTCAAATCGGGAGTAAAATTCCCGTGTAATGTCTGTGGTTGGACATAGTAAAGAGCCAATTTGGTCTGGCGGTTAGGACTACCAGGTGAAGCACCGGGAGACGGTGAGTTCTAGTTCTGACAGGGATGAAAGTTGGCTGGGTGACTTGAGGCCAAAATTCCCGTGTAATGTCTGTGGTTGGACATAGTAAAGAGCCGGTTTGGTCTGGCGGTTAGGACTACCAGGTGAAGCACTGGGAGACGGTGAGTTCTAGTTCTGACGGGGATGAAAGTTGGCTGGGTGACTTGAGGCCAAAATTCCCGTGTAATGTTTGTGGTTGGACATAGTAAAGAACCAGTTTGGTCTGGCGGTTAGGACTACCAGGTGAAGAACCGGGAGACGGTGAGTTCTAGTTCTGACAGGGATGAAAGTTGGTGACTTGAGGCCAATCGCCAGGAGATGGTGAGTCCTAGTCCTGCCTTAAACACGAAAGCCAGCTGCATGACTTTGAACCAACTTACCAGGAGGAGGTGAGTTCTAGTGCTACCTTAAACGTGAAAGCTTGCTAGGTGACTGAACCGATCGCCAGGTGTAGGTGAGTTCTAGTCCTGCCTTAAGCACGAAAGCCAGCTGGGTGGCTTAAGGCCAATCGACCCACCTCACAGGGTGGTTGTGAGAGAAAACAGGAAGGAACGCGAGCAGTTTGCCACCTTGAATTATTTATTTAAAAAATAATATATAAAGGCAAGTTTAAAATCAGTAAATAAAATTAGAAAAAAACCTCTTTTCTACCCCACTCCACCCTTTTTTTTTTACCCCTAGTGGCTGCCAAGCACCTCGTCTCAAACGCAGCTTTGATATCCAAACTCTTTTAAGACTTGTGGACTGGTTAGGGGATTCTGGGAGTCGAAGTTTACAAGTTTTCAAAGTTTCTGCCGCCTAGGGAGTTCTGGGAGTTGAAGTCCACGAGTCCCAAAGTTGCCAGGTTTGAAGAAACACACACACACACACACACACACGAATTAGGTGCCCTCATTATTCAGTTCTTATATCCGTGCCACGGGAGGGAGGGAGGGAAGGAAATAAATTTTGGTCCAGGATATTCGGTCCAAAGAAAAAGAGAGCACACTGTCCCTGGCGGCTTCTTATTTTTGTCTTTTTTGTGAAAAGCACCCTGTGTTCCTGCGTCTGTCCTCCCTTGGCGCCTTCCCGACATTTATGCCTTTCATCCTGTCCTTCCTTCGGAGAAGGCGCCGCCACCACCACCACCGAGCAACTGGTGCTCCGTGCCAGGGCGGCTGGGTTGCCAGAAGGGATTAAAAAGCGCCTGGCACCGGACGGGAGATCAGAGGCTTTCGTGCCGCTGGCCGGGGATGAGACGGATCCAAACAGAATGGAAAACAAATCCTGCATCCAACACAGAACAGCGGGGAGAAAAATTGACTTTCTGGCAAGAAGGGGACCCCCCACTCCCCCCAGGTCTGAATCCGTGAGGGGAATTTTGATAGTTTCTTTGGCAAAACTTCCCAAAATCCCTAATTCGAATAGAATATAAAATAGAAGAGAATAAATATTGGAATGAAGAATAGAATAAGGAATAGAATAGAATATAAAATAGAATAGAATAAATATTGGAAAGAATAGAATAAAGAATAGAATAGAATATAAAATAGAATAGAATAAATATTGGAATGAAGAATAGAATAAGGAATAGAATATAAAATAGAATAAATATTGGAATGAAGAATAGAATAAGGAATAGAATATAAAATAGAATAAATATTGGAATGAAGAATAGAATACGGAATAGAATAGAATATAAAATAGAATATTGGAATGAAGAATAGAATAAGGAATAGGATAGTATATAAAATAGAATAGCATAAATACTGGAATGAAGAATAGAATAAGGAATAGAATAGAATATAGAACAGAATATTGGAATGAAGAATAGAAATATATAGAATTATTTTATTGGCGAAGTGTGATTGGACCCACAAGGAATTTGTCTTGATGCAAACACTCTCAGTATACAAGGGTGGGTTTTATGGAGAAGAGAGAAATGGGAAGGAGGAAAGAGGAAGGAAGGAAGGAAGAAAGAAAAAACTAGGAGTCCTTTATCCTCTCTGCTGGGTTGTTTCCTTGTAGGGTTTCCCGACCCAACTAAGTAACATCGTCAGCGCTTGGAGGAAGTACCTCTGACCAAGCTCTCCTCCTCCTTCCCAGCCTTTCCTCCCTTTTATCTGGGGTTTTATTTGGTTTTTTTTTTTTTTTTTTTGGAGAAGGGGAGCAGCCGGCCTCTGCGCCCCCCTCACAACCCCAGCTTCCCCCGCGCCCAGCAGTTGTGAGAGGCCGGCCGGAGCTCTGGGAAATTTGAAGGCTGAGCTGCCTGACAGGGAAACCCGTCAGCTGTTGCTGTCTCTCTCCGGCGCTCTCCAGCTTAGTCATTCTGGAGACCCAACACCTTAATTTATGTTTATTTTTATTTTAAATTGGAAGTTTCTGCCTCCTTTGGGACAAGGCTTCCGGCCTGTTGTTTCTGCAGGGGGGCGACCCCCCACATCTTGGTCCCCCCC